TTTAATATTTGTTGATCACTATACAAAGTATATTTGGTTTTATCCTTTGAAAGCCAAATCTGATGTTGCCACAATTTTTCCAGTTTTCCAGAAACTTGTTGAGAATATGTTTCAAAATAAGATTGTTAGTGTCTATACCGATGGGGGAGGGTGAATATATTGCTTTAAAAACAATCTTCCAAAATCATGGCATTACTCATCTTAAAACACCACCTCATACACCTCAACATAATGGCGCCGCAGAGCGTCGTCATAGGCATTTAGTGGAAACTGGACTTACATTATTACAGTCTGCCTCTTTACCATCAAAATTTTGGACTTATGCTTTTTAGGTAGCTACTTACCTCATTAATCGGCTTCCCACACCTATTCTTCAAATGCAGTCTCCGTTTCTTAAGTTATTTCATAGGCCGCCTAATTATAGTAAACTAAAAATCTTTGGCTGTTTGTGTTATCCCTATCTTAAGCCGTTTACTCATCACAAGTTTGAAGCTAAGTCCAAACCTTGTATCTTTCTGGGATACTCCTTAAGTCAAAGTGCATATTTTTGCTATGAATTACAGAGTCAAAAGGTTTATGTATCTCGTCATGTTATCTTTGTGGAAAATAGCTTTCCTAATTCCAAACTCTGGTTACAGAACACGCGTACATCTGACTGGTATGATTGTCCTATTTCTAAAACGGTGTCGTCCAGGTCCTCTCCCTTAAATTCAGATTCCAATACGACCAGTACGATGTCGTTTCCATCTAATGGTTTTACTCTTATACCATTCAATTCTAGGGATTCCTCGAGTCCATTTGTAATTCATTCCGCAAATGATTCCTTCCAGTCGTCGTCTTCTTCTGAATTAGGTTCTTCATCACTGTCCTCTGGGTCTTCATTGTCGCGTTCTTCTTCCCAGTCTCCATGTCCATCCAATCATGAGTCTTCTTCATCTCCATCCACTGAATTGTTGTCGTCCTCAAGTCCTACCTCTGTTCCGTCTCAACCAGTTCGCACCCATCCAATGGTCATGAGGTCTCAAAATAATATTTTCAAACCCAAGGTCTTTCACTCAGTTACAAAACATCCTTTGCCACCAAGTCTGGAACCAACATGTGTGTCACAAGCTCTGAAACTTCCAGAATGGAGAAAGGCAATGTCTTCTGAATTTAATGCTTTAATGACTAATGGAACTTGGGAGCTTGTTCCTCCTTACAGTGATCAAAATTTAATCGGCTGTAAGTGGATTTTTCGGGTAAAAAGAAATGCAGATGGTTCACTTGATAAATACAAGGCGCGACTGGTAGCCAAGGGATACCATCAGCGGCCTGGCGTGGATTTTGGAGATACTTTCAGTCCAGTCTTAAAGCTAGCAACGATTCGCATAGTTTTGACAGTGGCAGTTTCGAATAAGTGGAGTATTTGTCAGTTGGATGTCAATAATGCTTTCCTTCATGGTCCATTGCAAGAACAGGTATTTATGAAACAACCACCTGGTTATGTGAATTCTGCAAAACCACACTATGTTTGTAAACTTGTTAAGGCGTTGTATGGTCTTCGACAGGCCCCGAGGGCCTGGTATCAGGCATTGCGGACTTGTGCCCTTAACTATGGTTTTGTTTAGTCAAAGAGTGACCATTCATTATTCATTTACAATAAGGGTGCTACTGTGTGTTTTTTCCTTGTCTATGTTGATGACTTGCTGCTCACTGGAAGCAGTAGTGAGTTTATTAAATTGTTTATTGCGGAGCTGGCATCCAGGTTTTCCTTGAAAGATCCACAGAAATTGAATTTATTTTTGGGTATCGATGTTCACCATACAGCAGGTGGGCTGTTCTTATCACAGCATCACTATATTTGGAAAATTGTAGTTACTTCCGGTATGGATGGAGCAAAACCTGTCTCCACACCGTTTGCGACTACAACGATTTTGTCTAAGAATACTTCCAGCTCTTTGGAAGTGGACTCCACTGCATACAGGAAACTAGTGGGTGCACTGCAGTACCTAACCTGGACCAGGCCAGACATTTGTTTTTCAGTTAACAAATTGTCTCAATACATGCAAAGTCCGACTGCAAAACATTGGGATGCTCTTAAGAGGTTACTGCGGTATCTAAAGTCCACAATAGATTATGGTATCCTGATCCATCCACAATCTACTCTTGTTTTTCATGCCTTTTCTGATGCAGATTGGGCTGGAGATCCGAATGATCGACTATCTACTTCAAGTTACATTTTGTATCTTGGCAAAGTTCCTATCTCTTGGACGTCTAGAAAACAAAAGTCCGTCGCACGATCTTCTACTGAGGCTGAGGATCGAGCAGTTGCCTCTGCAGCCTCTGAAGTAGTTTGGGTAAGCACTTTGTTGACTGAACTTGGAATCTTGACACCCATTCCTGTGTTATACTGCGATAATGTCTCCACCACATATGCTTGTCAAAACCCAGTTTATCATTAAAGGATGAAACACATTGAGATTGACATTCACTTCGTACGAGATCTTGTTCAACAAAAGAAGCTTCGAGTATCTCATGTGTCAACAAAAGATCAACTAGCGGATCTCCTTACAAAGCCGATGTCCAAAACAGTGTTTATTAACAACCGTTTCAAGATTGGAGTACGCAGTGGTACCTCCATCTTGCGGGGGAGTATAGAACCAACGGATAAGATTAGTATGAGTTAATTATTCTTGATATGCATAGAGTTGTATTTAGCTGTAAACTCTATCACTTGTAACCAAATCGATTGTGAGGATATATGTTGTATAAATACAATTGTTTGTGAATAATAGAAAAATAGTTCACAACCCATTTTCTGTGTGTCTCTCTTTTAAAAGCTACTCGGTTAAAAGTGGGCATCAAACTCTGAGAGAATTGGTTTCACCTGCAGATTCAAACCATGGTGGGAAGTGGAAGTTTTATGGAACATGGATGTGTTGAGGATGATATTCAATTTTGTCTGGAGGGCTATTTCTAATCATATACCAGTGGTCAGGAACTTGCGTCAAAGAAGAGTTGAGGTTAGTGTTTTATGTTCGATTTGCTTGGCTGATGATGAAACGGTCATATATTGTCTTTATATTTGTCATTATGTCAAGTTAGTTTGGAGAATGAGTGGAGTTGGCTGTTTTAATGGAGTCTCTAGTATGGAAGATTGGTTGGATTGTTGCAAAATGTTCTTAGATAAGGAACAACAACAATTATCTTTTTTCATTATATGGGAATTATGGCTGAATCAGAAAAAAAGAGTTTGGGAGCAGAAGGAGTGGAACGCAAACAAAATTCTTTACGGTGCTCGACGAAATATGGTTGAATAGTAGCAGGCGCAACAAATCAAGCTTCCTATCTCTAGTGTTCTGGCTGTCTCTTTGAATTTTCCGATCAAATGGCAGAATCCAGATTATGGTATGCTTAAATTGAACATTGATGCTGCATATGATGCTAGTTTAGGTACGTCATCTTGTGGTTGGATCTTAAAGAGGCATGATGGGAATATGGTTGGAGGAGGAAGTAGGAATTGTGGAACTATGTTGAATGCGTCTGTGGCAGAAGTTGTAGGGATTAGAGAAGCTTTGAGCTGGTTGAAGCTTTTGAATCTTAAAGAAAGTGTGTTGGTCGAATCAAATTGTATGGTGGTTGTTCATTTGATCCATTCGGAAGTGCAGGTTTGATCGTTAAACAAATTAAAGAATTGACGAGTGACATTAACTTGTCCTCTATTTCTTTTGTTCATAAGTCAGCTAATCAGGTTGCTCATTCTCTTGCAAAAGCAGCTCTATTATATGCTGATTTTATGGAGTGGGGGTACTATCCCTCCATATTTTATTATGGATGTATTGGCTTTTGATAAGTTGATTTAAATAGATGAAAGCTTTTATTATTCAAAAAATACATATTAGATTAAATTAGGTTTCAAAAGTTATCAATTATCATTATTAAATACTTAACATGAAATTAAAAAATTATTAAGTTGACCAATCAAAATACAGGAAAATAAGAATAATTTTAAAATTTTTTTAAAAAAGAAAAATAGAATGCTGAATAAAAAAAACGTTTTGAACATTATGTTTGTTTTAGCTTTCACACACACACACACATATATATTTGTTTTAGCTTTCATCTCTTTGTTATAGTTTTCATATATATATACACATATATATAGTTGAAATTTTGATTTTATTATTGAATTATATTTCTAAAAAGAAATTAATGAGACAATAATTGAGCCTATATATAATTTTTCTATTGGAATTAGAAACACAAGTGGAGATACAGGACAAAAAGACAGCAGTTCTTATATATAATTTATACCATGAGCTACATATGTTAGAAGTTTCCCTAAATTGTACTTATTGAATATGACTTTATCTGCAAAATTGTATTGTTTGTATTAATTTGCTTGTGCCTCAAATCTCAACACTAATGACTTTCTTTGAAATGACAAAGGGAAAATCCACTTAGATACTACTCCGACATCCCCAAACTTATTTAACTTCAATAAATTTAACTAGTAATTTTTTGAATAAAACATATATTTATCATTTATTTAACTAGTAATTCTATATAAATATTGAAATTTATCTTTTATTTCTTATGATATTAATAATTTTATTATTTATATTCTTTTTAGATAATCACAATTTTGATAAAATATGCTAAACTAAAAAGTGATTTAACATAAAATCATCACCATAATAGCCTATTAAATTTTTTTTAAAACATAGGTATCCCAGCTATTCATATACAATTAAATTTTGTTTACATCGAGTCGACCCACGAAGGGATAAAATGTTCCCGGTAAATATTTACTTCATCTATAATAATCAAAGTATCGAATCACTCATCGCAACGCTCAGTTTGAAGCTTGTCAATTTTTTGAAAGCACATCCTTCCACGTATATTTTAATATTATTGGGTTTTTATTTATACAAGGAGTCCAAGCCTTATACCAAATACATTGAGAGAAGTATTAGAAAATTTCAAAATTCTCAAGCTTTTCTGTCTCAGAAGCAGTCCAATAAGAACATAGGAAACGTAGTAAATTCTTGAAAAGCAAGAACTACCAATACAGCCACCCATGAACATAACAACAGTAATTAGTATCAACTCAATGACAACACAACAGAATTACATGTATTTCTAAGGTTAAACAGAACATATATTAGAAGATACAGTACTGATCAACAATGGAAGGATGTTAAACAAGACTAATACAACTAATGAAGCCGAGAGACAGAAACCCACTTGTGTCAATTAAATTAAAACTTCATATCCTGCAAGAACAAAGCTATTATATAAATATATAATTTTAGAAGAATGCTCTGCTTCCATAGAACACCCGCGATCCGTCCTTTTTATTCTTCTTCTTCTCAACTTCTAATTTCTTGCTATGATCTTCATTTTCAGGCTTTCCAAGATCCATAGGGAGTTTCATCTTTGCTAAAGATTCAGTGAATTGTTGCATACTCCTCATGTACATGTCTACTATTTGTTGTTGCATTGCAGATTGCTCTGATTCAAGATTAATATTCCCTAATGGAGATGAAAATACTGAATTTACAGAATCTTCTTTATTTACGTCCTTATCTTTGATAGAAAAGTTGGATTCTTTCTCATCTCTAACCTCACTCTCTTTCTTTGAAGTAGGAGTATCTGGGCATGTGCTCGAGCTCTGGTTCGCCTCTGTAGTGATCGAAACATCCCCTGAAAGCACTTTTTTCTCAATGGAATCCAAGGAATTTCTGTCATCACTTAGGCTAGTTGTAGTAGAGCTTATAAAACTTGAGTTTTGGTTACTTCCAGTAGGAGAAATAGAATCTCTTATATTCTCCTCAGGGTAATTTACAGTCATATCATAGTCAGTAGCAACAAAAGGAGGTGCATGAGATTGACGAGATGAGCCTAGTCGAAGAAATGAGGCCGGACTCGAACCTAAGCCTAATCCATCAAAATATTCAGAAACCATCCTTTGATTCTCTCTAACAACATTAATATCAGGAAATTCTATCCTCGAATATTCGACAGGATCAAGAATGACTTGTGATACTTTCCTATCAAGTAATATAACTTCAGCTGATATAGAAGAGTTAGCAGTAGAAGGAGGACCCAAAGGCAAACAAGTTTCTAAAGAAAGAGTGAGTTTTACAGTGCCTGCAGGAGAGTGAAAAAGATCAGTAGAAGAAAGACTATAATCTTGAGTAACTTTGCCTTTGCCAATAATTTGTGAAATTGGGACTAAAGTAAATCCCAAAAGTTGATCTTCCATGAAGTTTCTTGCTCTACTAAGCATCCACATCTCACATTTGAGGACAGAGTCGAGTTGCGTTACTTTCATCACCAATTTTTCGTTGAATTCTGGGTTTTTGCCACCTCCATTGCTAATTCTAGTTGATTGAGTCTCATCTGGGTTATATGTAAGAGAGAATTTTGCATACACATCTTGATTATCATAAATGCATATATTGTGAATATTCCTTGCATGATGAACATGGATTTCAAGAATCCCTGACTCATCAGAATCACCATCGCCATCACTCATTGTATTCGAATTCGGGTTATACCGAAACCCAGTTGGTTGAGAGAAAGAATCCATTATAGGGGAGGAAATTATGAATTTGATGATTCAAGGAATTTGAAGACTTTCTAATCCTGTTTTTGGCCAGAAAGTAAGAGAACAAAACAGAGTAAAAACAGGGCTAAAACAGAACAACCAAGTTCTTTGGTAGATCCAATTCCTAACTTTATACGTTCAATTTTGAATACTTTAAAAACGTTCTAGAAAGGTTGAAGGATTAAAGAATGACACAGAAGGATAGAATTTCAAAAACAGGAAAAAGAAAGAATGTTTTAGAAGGAAAGAGAGAAGCAGAATCGGACAAAACAGAGCAAAAGCAGATTTGTTTCAGAGAGTAGAGATTTGATTACTTACAAGTCACAGCACAAAGGATCAGAGCATTTTTGGGTTGTGGGTTGCTGACATAAATCCATGAATTCAAGGCAAAGCAGTGGAAAATAGAGAGAGAGAGAGAGAGAGAGAGTGTATGACTTACAGTGGAATTGGAGAACTTTGAGTATGCAAGTTGAAGAGGTGGGTAAGGGTAGTAGGTAAGGTAAGAATCAAGAAAAAAAAAAAAACAGAAGATATAGAGGATGATACTATGATGATGTTATAGTTGTTTTCAAATGCTCAACCATCTTTTTATTTTTTTTAAAAAGGGGGTGGGTGAGGGATTGAGATTTTGGAAGGCTTTCTTTTGCTTGACATTGCAGCTTCCACTTTATAATGACTTAATTTGCTCCACTGAGCTAATTGGAGGCCCCACTTTTGGTCCCATCTTCAATTATCATTTTCTCCACCTATATCCCTCTCATATATGCTCTCCAAAGCTTCAAGACAACAAAATTTTTTACACACTCTCTCCTTTTTAATTTCATATATGGGGAAAATGTAATGCAAACAAATTAACCCTCAGTTTAATTCCTTGGTATCAAGGGAATGTTATGTCATCAATATTCAATGCATATACTCTTCCCATTCAAGCCTAGCACCAAAAACTTCTAAAAGAAATGCAAGACTTCTGAAAAAAAAAAAAAAATTCAAATGATATTATAGACTAATTTTCATATTTAGTACCATTTATTGTGTTCGGTAACAGCTTTTTAAGTAGCTTTTAGTCAAAATACTTAACGCTATTTTTTATAGTGTTTCATACCATAGCATTTGAACTAACTTTCAGAGGTTAAAATACCATTTTATAAAAAATTAATTCATATAACGTTTATTTTTTTAACGTTTCATGAAAAGCTACTCAAACAGCTAACAACTATTAAAACAACTAATTTTACCAAACACACCCTTAGTTATATATAAATCATTTCCAGGCAAAGAGATTAAAGACAAGATTATTCTTAACTTCAATATTAAATATTAGTTAATAAAGTGTTAGTAAACACAACTTTTATGCTTTAATCTTTTTGCTAATTTTATGCCTTAGATATTTAATTTAATAATTTGCATAACATAAAGTATAAAAGTAAAACAATTATTACCTTTTAGTTCAATAGTCAAATTATTCATCAAACGTAATGCAAGAAGTTGAAAATTTTGAATTTCAAAGTTTGTTTTTCCTTTTTACCGTTGATAAATTCCTTTATTTTTAATGTAAAAATGATTTTTTTTTTTTTTTTTTTTTTTTTGAAGTTGAAAATTTGAAATTTTCAAAGTTTGTTTTTCCTTTTTAACCGTTGAATAAATTCCTTTATTTATTAATGTAAAATGATTCTTTTTTTTTTTTTTTCTTTTTTTTTTGCATTCAAAAAAGAAATTATATTGAGATGTTGTTTTTTTTTTTTTTTTTTTTTTTGCATTCAAAAAAGAAATTTATGATGATGTGACTTAAGTTTTGGAATTTATTTATAAAATGGTCACAAATCATATAACATTAATGTGAACAAGAAAAAAAAGTTTGAATTGCTTCTGTGAATTGGAAGTCATAATATTTACTATCTTTGGTGGATCTTAGTCTTAGATGACAAGAAGGTATGATTGGTCTAATGTAAGCAAAAGTGCATTTTTGCATCCATACCTAAACCTTTTCTCTCCTTCTCTTTTTCCATTTCCAATGGTTTGGCCATAAAATAAGGTATAATCCATTACTTATACTACCCTTTGATGAAATTACGTAACTCACATATTCAGATGGGACATTTTAATTTTTGACAAAATGTAAATTTGAATATTTGTTTTCTAAGGGGATGATCATAAATTTGATAGGTTTAAATTTTAAAATTTTGTATTTTAGAACATGTGTCACAGCAGCTTTTTACGAATTAAAGAAATATTTTATAAGAAAATAATTCATATTTAACTTTTATCGTTTTATGAAAAACTACTCAATTACTCAATATTTCAATGTATATTTTTTAGCAACGAAATCTGTTTTATTAAACTAAGGTTTCTTTTCTTCACACGTGGTTGGCCTAAAAATTGAGTAGTACAACAAGCACGCACTCATGCTTTCTTTCAAACTGTGGAGTTGGCTTTAAGTTGATGAGTTAGACAAGTCTTGCACAATATGTATGACTTACAGAGATTGTTATTAAATCTTCTTTGTCTTCTCTCTTCACATAATTTTGGATTCATTTAAAATTGAACTTGATTTAAAAGATAAGATATTTTTACTTTGGCCGGACTATAAAAATATGCATGCTATGTTCAGTAAAGTTAGCTGTTATTTATTTTAGTAGCGTTTAACTCTTAATTGTTTGAGCAACTTTTTATAAAAGGCTAAAAGTTAACTTTTTATAAAAATATTTCTTAAATTCTAAAAGCTATTCCAAAGCTATTTTACCGAATATTATAAAAAATAAAGTTTAGCATTTTGACTTATTTAAAAAATTATTGTCAAACACAACTCTAGCCACAAAGTCCTACTTCTCTTCTTGATTAAGGAATTTGCTTTTTTTTTATTTTGTTTTAATTTAATTTAATTTTCTTTATTATTATATTCTTTAAATATGGTAGTTGCATCTCTGTGTTTGTTCTTGTCCCCCCCCCCCCCCTTGTGTTTGTTCTTGTCCCCCACCCCCCCCCCCCACTTGTTTTTTTAAGATATTCTTGGTTCTTTGGGAATATTTTGTTTTTGTATAGAACCCCCCCACTTGTTTTTTTAAGATATTTTGGTTTTGGGAATATTTTGTTTTTTTGTATAGAAACTATAGTTGTTAGTATTTTATTTTTTTAGTTTGATTTTGTTATGAAAATGTTGATGAAAGCAGTTGAAACTTCACCAGAAGCCCTATCCGAAAACCCACTTTTCACTCTTTGCATTATCAAATCGTTTCACTTCCAATTGCAGTATCAAGTCTATTGTTAAAAGGTTTCAATTTTAATATCCACTTTTGGAAATTAGAATTCTTCATTTGATAATTCTCCTTTTGCCAATTGTAATTTTTGTTAATCTATTTAAAAAGAGTAGACTCACTTTCTTTGGTAAATGATGCACTTAGGATGGGTTTCAATGGCAATTTGAAGATGAATTAGGAGTCGGGAATTGGGAGGAGAGAGAAAAGAAAGAGATAGAAGAGAGAAGATCAATAGCAATCTATACAAGCAATGTGAATTGCATGTGATGGATAAGATTTACCTACACTTTATGTATAGATGGTCTCATACATCAAACTAATCTATAAAAGTTTTGTTAAAAAATTGTAATTGTCTTATTCTTTTTTTTTTTTCTCAGTAAATGATTAGAAATACTTTTATTAAGATAAAAGCTTTTTTTTTAATTAATTTGATATATGGAATGGGCCCATATATATGGTATAGATAAGTATTTCCCTACATATATAACTTATTCAACTCATCCACTCAAAGCTAACTCAACAATGCAACAAAGTATAAGAGGACCTCTGCCATCCTACTCGATTTTGAAGCGAGTCACGGTAAAAAAAAAAACACTTGATTTATAAAATTTTAATTGTTTCGACATTATTTGAAAAAAAAAATATTTAGATACTAAAATAGAAAATTCTAAAAGAGTGATATAGGTACTTTGCGATAGGAAGATATCTAACAAAATGGCATATAAGTTCTATAGGACGGTGGTGAGATTAACAATATGCTACATGTGCGTGAACATTGAGCATCGAATGCTCAATATGTTCATAAAATGAATGTTGCTGAGATGGATGTGTGGTCATACAAGGTTAGACAGGATTAGCAATGATCAAATTAGACAAAAGGTGCAAGTAGTAGAAGCTAGAGATAAAATGAGAGAAAGACGTCTGAGATGGTATGGTCATATATTACGTTACTCCCACATGCTCTGCTTCATAAATGTAATACTTTGATGGTGGAGGGTGTTAAAAAGAGAAGAAGTTGACCCAACTGTTTGGAGGGAAGTTGTTACGGAGGATCTACGGTCTTTGGAGATTAGTGAGAATAAGCTCTAAACAAAACAAAATAAAGACAAAAATGTAAAAATAAGAAGAGGTTTGGGAAAACTATATTTCTATATATCTGTAGTATGAAGACGCAACCGTATATACAAGTGTATGAGAGAATAAATAGGAACGACAACCAATACAATAGAAGGACCTAAAAATAAATCTATAAAAGTATTTGTACATTAACACTCCCCCTCCAGCTGAGCTTGGAGGATCACGAAAACGAAGCTTCCATAGTGGTAACTGAAAGAAGCTTGACTCAGCGGCTTGGTCATAATATCAGCAATTTGGTCAGACCTCTTTAAAAATGAATATTTATGATACCAATACGAAGTTGATCATGAAGGAAATAATAACCAATTTCTACATGCTTAGTGTGAGCATAGAACACAAGATTGGAGTTTAAATAGATTGTGCCGCCATTGTCATCCCATAATGTGGCAAGCCCAGATGGTGGAAAACCAAGTTCATGCAACAAAGTAGTTAACCACATGATTTCAGCAGTAATGTTAGCAAGAGCCTTGTATTCACTTTCAGTAGATGATCTAGCAACCGTAGGTTACTTTTTGAAGGACCAAGTGATTAAAGTTTTACCTAAATAAATTAAGTAACCATTAGTAGAGCGTTGATCATCTAGATAGAAAGAAAATAGGATTTGTGTTTTTTTTTTTTTTCAAAAAGAAAAAGCAGCCACTGTTGTATTTTTAATTTTTTTTTTTTTATTCAAAAAAGAAAAAGCACCACTGTTGTAATTTTTAATTCAGATTCAACTCAATCATACATCGAACATACACAGGGACTCCTCTTATATAGAGGTACAAAATAGACTAAGTCTAAACTAAATCCAAGAATACACAAAGATAATCAAAACTGTGAAATCAACAAAGCCAGATTATGTGGCTGTGTTTAAGCTACTAAACCTAGTCAAGAAAGGCTAAAACCAATGGACTTCCAACAAATTAAATACACCAACAGTAGAATAGAAATATTAACTAACCTTATCTCTCCAAAATACACCTTAATAACTCCATATTTTCCTCAATTATAACTCCATATTTTCCTCAACAGGTCCTTGTAAGAGGGACTGATCACATAATGACACCTTATTACTCCTATGATCTTTAACATCCCCCCCCTCAAACTTTGCCAGGGCAGGAGGCAGAGTTTGCTGCGAAACATAGCTATGGCAGATTTTGGTATTGGTTTGGTGAAGATGTTAGCAACCTGTTGATCTGTTGGAACATATTTAGTAATTAGAAGACCATGTGCAACCCGTTCTCTAACAAAGTGGTAGTCCAACTCT